TAGAAAAAGTTTCAAATTAGAATTATATGATTATATCCTATATGAAAATTTGTTTTTCCTAATTTGTTTCTTATGTGTTTAGTAATAAACCACTCTTTTAGAGAGGTAATATACGTGTTTTATAGTACTATTAAAGGAAAGTATATAATTTACTGATCAAAATTTCTAATTTATCTTTGCAAAAGACAATGTTATCAAGAGTTATTATCAAAATAAACAGGAAGAGGAAGAGAGCAGGATATTCATCTATACCCTCATAGTTTTATCAGTCTTCACAAGAGAATTTTGTCGAGATCCGTGCATGTTTTGATCAAAAATTGCTATTTTAAAGCAAAATGTCATGGTCACCGTATCAACTTACTGAATATTGCGAATCTTTACGATATTACAAGAAAGTGTAAGAAAAGTATTATTTTTATAGACATTCGATATTGCTCTACCAAACACAACACTTGGTTTGCTTGTATCATGAAATTTATTTTTTTCAATTTTTTTCGTATACAATACAATAGGTGCGTTCTTTACTTATATATGTTGATATGAACATGAGAAAATCACTTCCTACAATAATGAATCAATCAGACATATAAATTCTGATAGGTTCAAAAGAATCCAAGAATAACTAAGATAAATGTTATTGGATTAAGAATTAAACATAAAGAAAGATGTTTAATATAAAACGATATCATATTAGCGATAGGGATGGCGCTTTAACTTTACTTTAAATTTAAAGTTTAAAGTTAAAGTGCTACCCCTAATTTAGGAATGATAATTACACCCAAAGACGGAATCTTGATATTTGAACATCAGATAGACTATTTGGAAAGCGAGTTTGTACCATTAAACGATAAGATTTGACTCTTTTAAAAGAAATTAGACCGTAAATATCGAGAAACACAAAATGTTTTAATTGTTTAATTAATTGAGAAAGATCATCTTGAAAAACAATTACATGTTGCTCTAAATAACAAAAATTAGTTAGTCTTCTTTCAGAAATAGTTGAGTTACACACTGATAGATTGAGATGTTTCCAGTTTTCGTCTCCATTGTGTGACAACAGTGCCATATGAGTATTTGGATTTGATAATTGGTCGAACTGGAAGAAATCAAAAACAAATAAAATAAGTATTATAAATAGTCTTCTTCGTTATCAATATTTTTCTTTTCTTCAGGAAAAATCAATGGTTAGAAAATATTCTATTCAATTTTGTTTTAGAATTTCTGTCTTTTGGATTTGATTACTATACAATACACTGTTTTCGAACTTTATCAACGAAACGATCCTAGAGTGAAATTTAAGGAACTTAAAAAATAAGTAGAGAAGAAAAAGAGACAACTCAGCTATTAATTTTAATCTGTCTAGTCGTTTTCTAAACATATTATATCAGTTTTGCGTTTTGTCAAATAAAATAAACACAAAATTATATAAGCTGATGATACGTGTCAATCATAGAATTTTTTTTTTCCAATACATCAAGACTGCTCTGCTATAAGTAGGAGATACGCCTTTATAAAATAGTCCGAAAAATAAGACAATCATATTTAATCAATGTTCGTAAATGAAATAAAATATACTGGATATATTTTTATAGTTCTTTGACCAAAATTTCAGATATTTGTCTGACAAATCTGTCAACTCAGAAATAGTAAATAATTTGTTTAATTTTTTAACATGTTATCTTTATATTACTATTGGATATATTTCTACTATCGACCAAAAACAAGACAGTACATGACATCTGACATTCTTCAGTCCTCTCCATTTGCTCTATCATCTGAAAATAAAGATAAATGATTAGTAAGCATACATCAAGAGACGAGATTTTCTTTCCCTAATAACTACTAAAATTTAATTAAATATTATTCAGAATTAAAATTTAAAAAAATCTTACTTGATGTCCAAGGAAAATCATCAGGTCTCCAAAGACGTAATGTTTGTAAATGAGACATATAAGTGCTAAGAAATGGTATGAGCCGTTTGCCAATATGAGCTGATTTATTTGCAGCAAAATTACAACTTGGAATACCAAATTCAGCATGTCGAACAGTACTCAGAGCATTTTCTTTTAAGTCATCAAAAGTCTAAAAATGATTTGAGGACATAATTTGATTTAATCATATAAATTTTTTTTACGTAAACATATACACCCGTGGGCAAAAGTCTTTTCCCCCCCCCCTGATTTTTTTAAATTGAACCTGTTTAATCTCAAATGCTGTTAATTCCAAAGATAGTTTGAGTATTTTATTTTTAGCGTATTGCATGATTTATTCTGATTTGCCACATAAAAGCCTGTACGACATTAAACACAATCAGCTACCATTACAATTAATTTGTTTGACAACATACTCCATGAGTTAGCTTTTTCTTTTTTCAAAGTTTTCTGGATGTTTCACTGATTTTGACTTTTCTAAATCTATATAATTCAGTGTGCCGCATTCTCGGTGAAGCTATGAGTCGATGACGCAGAGAGTTAAATGAGACTAAACAATAAAACCATCCAGACAGTATCGAAAAAAGAAATAGCTCACTCATGGAGAATGTTGTCAAACAAATTAATTGTAATGGTAGCTGATTGTGTTTAATGTCGTACAGGCTTTTTTTTGCCAAATCGGGATAAATCATGCACTACGCTAAAATAAAATACTCAAACTACCTTTGGAATTAACATCATTTTAGATTAAACAGGTTCAGTTTAAAAAAATCAGGGGGAGGGGAGGAAAGACTTTTGCCCACAGGTGTATATAGTGAAAAACCAAACTAACTATTAGTCCAGAATTTAACAAATTTACATCAATATTAAATTAAATTCGATTAATTTTCTACAATAATCTCATAAATTAATTTATTTTCTTAAAAAAATGATGATAAAAGTCGTACTTACATTTTCAGTAATATATAAAAGCCATTGAAATTTTGCAATAGAAAGGTGTTTGAGTTGAACAGTCATGGAAATTAGATGGGCACATAGTTTTGCACGTACTCTATCTTGGGCTGTAAAGTTAGACCAACGTTCTAAATAAATAATTTTCTTTTGCAAAATAAGCTCAATTTCATATCTCCTACGATCATACATAGAATAATGGCTTATCATTATCAAAGAACTATTTATCAGACATATAGTGATGAAAAAATGATTCATTACGGAATATCTGTTCGTGAAAACAATATTATATTATGAGAATATACTAATGAGAGACAAAAAAACAAGATACAGAACTTTTTCTTGTATGACCTTTTTGCGATTTTAAAAAAATATTTTGTCACAAAAATAATATCATATAGTTGTGCCGTACACTTTGCTCTTCTCATCATCATAGCCTTTCTAAATGATAAAATGCCAATCAACGATAACAGCGACTTCTTATTACAGCCAAGAAGTTTTATTACGACTTTAGCACGTAAATAAGACCTTTTTAGTTAGTTCGCTACTCTATTTATCCTTTAAACTCATATTTCTATATGGGTAATGTCTATAACAATATGATCATCTTCTTATCCGTATAGATTGGAATTAATATATCTATATGATATGAACGTCCACTACCAAAACTTCAATGAAATACGATTGTATTTTATAAAAAGAATCTGCCTTTATTAAACTCTTAAATTATCTGTTATGACTTCTAAGAAAATAATATTAACAGATGTGTAAGTCGATGTATTTATTGATCGGCATCAGTTGAAAATTTCTGATGACTTTCTAAATTTTAATAAATCGGAGGAATTTTGAAATGAATATAGAAAAAATAAGGTCAGAGAGTCCATAGGGAGAAGAAATTAGATTAAAACGTCCTTAAAAATTGATGTCAAGTGTTGAAACTTTTTAAAAATCAAATGCTAATATTATACTAGGTCGTCACTCAGTGACGGTGGTTTGATTTATCCGCAACGATTTACAGTAATCATGAGACATCACTGATATTTCTTTAACACTTGACAGCAATCTCTGACAAAGGAAAAGCTAATCGGCATGTAGCTTTAAATATTGTCTGAGATGTTTAATTTTAAATATTCACTAGAATGCTTTCAAATTTTTTTCGACAGATAATATACCGTGAAGTTCGTTTACAATATAAAGGCTTAAACACTGTTACAGGTTGTTTTTTGAACAATATTTGACTAAGAACCATTTTATATTAATTCTCTTTGTTCGTCTATCTCTATAAAAGATATTCAAAAAGTGTAAATATTGAAGATTTGAAATAAATATTTTTCAATCTATTCATGTCAGAGTATCAGCTTTCTTTTAAAAGGATATTCAATTAAATTTTATGAGAAAGATCTTAAGATTTTTTTTATTCTATAGTGAATCATACATGTTTTCTGTTATATTTTTCAACAATCCAAAATCATAGAACTGACTCATATAACGAAAATAGTCATTAGAACAAAAAGAAATACATCATTTTTCAAAAAAAAGTCAATTTATACATACGAGTTGCGCGACGATGACAAGATCCAAATTGAAGTTTTGTGACATTTACTAATTGAATATTATTTAAATTTTGTAATCGTATATTATCTAATGTTGGCGACATATGCAAATTATCAGCAGAACCTTCTACAAATAAATAAACGTTACTTAATCTTTCTCTCTCTCTCTACAGTAAACAGCGAGGCAGCAAAATTATTTTTTGACATTAAATTTTGTTAACAGCATGATGTACAATAACCTTGAATAATATTTAATGCAATAACGTATTAAATGCGTTGTAAAACGCATATTTACTGTTTAATAAAAGAGCTTTATCCAAACACTTTTGCCAATAATATAAATTTCTTTGTTGATGGTTTATGTTTACTATTCAGTATTCTTATTCTTTTACAAACCGTGGCTGATATCTTGGCAAAGACCTCACCTCAATTCCATTGCATTATGAGCTGTAGTCGAATTCATTGAGACAAAAACTAAAAATACATTACCTATGTCTATGGTGATGCACGAAACATTTGAACATAATTTATTAAATTGTTCGTAAAATGAATAGATAGATGTATTAAAAATTATTTTAATATGACGCATCTCTGATGGATCATACGATATATAACGATAATTGCTAAATGAGAAAGATAATTTGATGACAAATTTTCATTAGTAAAATATCTTACGATAAATCATTCAAGACTTGAAATTTGTCAAGAGTAGAAGAGAAAACATGTTGGTATCCCTAATAAAATATTGTGTGAGTTAAATCTTGGTTATTGTCAACAAAATACAAAATATGGAGAACTGAGCATAGTTTGAAAATTTAGATACAAGATCACATTATATCAAGATCTATTATTAAATCTGTTTTGATACAGATTTATCAAATCTTTACTAAAGTATACAAGGCTTCAAAGCAATCATTCGAATTTATTTTTTTAATCACTCGAAATATTTCAGAAAATAATTTGTCTAGTATAAAATTCGATACTGAATGTAAATCTAATGTTAACTTTCTCTTATAAACATCACAAGTCAAGTAAAGACTAATATTTAGTTCAAAAACTATTCGAAATCGCCTTTTTTCTGAACACTCGCAAACGAAAAATCGGATTTTATTGAAAAAATTTGTACTAGACCTTCCCAAGTTCAGGTTTCGCTCAGAATTGATGAACTGTTCGAAAAGTTCAGTTCGCTGAACTGAACTGAACTTTTCGAATGAACTGAACTAGTCGAGCAGTTCCTCTGTGCGAACTGAACTTCTCGAACAGTTTTTTGTGAACGAACTGAACTTTTCGAACAATTCTTTTGAACGAGCTGAACTTTTCAAACTACTCGTTTTCGATGAAGTGACTGGTAAAGTAACATATTGAACCAGTTCATTCTAATAAAAAAGAACTATTCGAAAAGTTCAGTTCGCTCAAAAGAACTGTTCGACCAGTTCAGCTCGTTTAGAAAGAACTGTTCGAAAAGTTCAGTTCGTTTCAAAAGAACTTCTGACCAGTTCTTTCGCTCATTTGAACGGAGTTCGTGAATGTGAACTGGTGAACCCCTATTTTGTACGATCTGATTTCTAGAAATCAAAAAAAGACGTTTTTCGTTACGTATTGTTACTCAAGATCTTTATTTTATATACAAATCTTACAGATCTATTCACTTTTCTATACTTCGTATTTTGATCATGATTTTTACTCACTTGATATTCCATTGATATATTTTCATTATAAAAACTTTTAACATCTGTCCATTGATGATCGATAAAAAATGAATCGATTTTAAAGGAATTTATTGTTCTAAAAATATCATTTGATGATAATTGACAATTTGCACAAATATAAAAACGAAAATCTTTCAAATTAATTATTCGATCAGGTAAACAATATTGACGAATGAAATTTGCATCAATAAAAGATCTCCATATAATATCATTTCTATTCCATATATATCCGCTATGTAAATTAATTTCAAGTTTTTTAACATGATTAACATTATTAAGAATCCATTTTAAATAACCAAATTCCAAGTCATTGACAATTAGACTCTTCAATTTAAAATCTTCCAATTTTTGTACCTGTGTTACACAGAGAGTCAATCATTATTTTGAAAAAAATGGATTTATTTCGATGAAAACAATAATCATCGAAAATATTCAATTACTGGGTATCTATTAAAAATCTAGTTTTTTAATAAAAAACTTTGAACGATTATTTCAAATTGTTCGTTTTACTCTCAAGAAGCGATTGTAATCGTCAACAGTTTTCCCTTTGCAAATCATCACATACGATGCGTCTCATTATTAATTTATATATATGATGTACTCTTAGTTATAGAAATTTAAAAGTTCTTATTATTTAACGAATATGTCACGTATAGTTTTCTACTGATTTACTTAAAAAAGATTTTTTTTTGCGATTAGTGTGAACATACTAAATCACGAAAACAGATATCACACTTTTTCATATTAATAAAAAATCAAGAATTTACAAATACACCATTTCTAAATAGCAAAAAATATCAATATTACCGCCAAATATTATTTTAATAACAATTTATGAATGAGGACTATAATAGCCTTAAACATATATTGATTATATCAACAAAAAAACAAGAAAATAATCGGAATGATTTATTATGTACAATGGATCGAGCGAGAAAAGTGTTGCAGTAGTACACTCGAGTTTTAACAGTACTATAAGCTTCGATTAATATGAGTGAAGTACATCATTACATCGCAACACATCTTAATTCAAGTCTACTACGCTATTAGCTAATTCACATATGGAACAGTATACTCCAAGCCTGATGAAAGACTCATTTTTTTTATTCACAACAATCTCAAATGTTTATGAACATTTTATTAAAAATTTCTTAGTTATGTTTTCTCAAACCGCTCAGTATTGGCAGAATAATTTGTACATTAAATGTTGAACACTCGGATAATGCTTCTAAACTTCAAAATATTTCTATTGATCCACTCTAGAATTTATCTAATTTTGTTCAGATTCAAAAGTATCTATTTAAATTTTTTAAGATCGTAGCATTCTAAGATTCGCCTTATTTTTCTCAACAGATATCTACTTTTTCTTTCAAATAATAATCAATGCTTACAAAATGGCCATATTTATATCAAATAGAAATCATCATTTACGATCCTAACAGTAACATATTTCCGGTATATGCTACTCCTCATTTTATAGTATTGAATCAGTTTAATTCAAAGTCTGATATCTTTTATTCAATATGAGAGACTTTAACCCTTTACCCCCCATAGCGGTTCCAGAAGAGCCGCTGATGAAATAACTTTATAAATAGCATGAGATGCCTAATTCGAGTTCGAATATAAATGGAGCTGCAACTGCTCGATATCACTTCGAAAATAAAAAAAAAAAGGCTTCCATGTTATTACGGCAGAAAAAGAAAAAGATAAATTTCTATTCGAATTCGAATTTATAATTCGAACGAAGCACCCATATAACTCCGGCAAAAAAAAAAATTTATTCGAATTCGAATTTATAATTCGAACGAGCCACCCATATAATCCCGACAAAAAAAATAAAAATTTTTATTCGAATTCGAATTTATAATTTGAACGAGCCGCCCATATAATTCCGGAAAAAAAAATAAAAATTTTTATTCGAATTCGAATTTATAATTCGAACGAAGCACCCATATAACTCGGGAAAAAAAGAAAAAAAAATTTCTATTCGAATTCGAATTCGAATTTATAATTCGCACGAGCCGCCCATATAATTCCGGAAAAAAAAAAAATTTTTATTCAAATTCGAATTTATAATTCGAACGAGCCACCCACATAATTCCGACAAAAAGAATAAAAATTTTTATTCAAATTCGAATTTATAATTCGAACTAGCCACCCATATAATTCTGGCAAAAAAAAATTTTTATTCGAATTCGAATTTACAACTTGAACGAGCCGCCCATATAATTCCGGAAAAAAAAATAAAAATTTTTATTCGAATTCGAATTTATAATTCGAACGAGCCACCCATATAGCTCTGGCAAAAAAAGAAAAAAAAATTTATTCGAATTCGAATTTATAACTCGAACGAAGCATTCATATGATTTCATCCAATCCCAACCCAACCCATCCCAATCTAACCCAACCCAACCCATCCCAACCCAACCCAACCCAACCCAACCCAACCCAACCCATCCCAACCCAACCCAACCCAACCCAACCCAACCCAACCCAACCCAACCCAACCCATCCCAACCCAACCCAACCCAACCAATCCCAACCCAAGCAGAAAACAAAGAAACCCCCGTGACGGATCAGAAGGCAAAAAGGAGTCTTTTTATCAAAATACCGCAGGACCCACAATGCGCTCCGAGGAAGGAGTAGGCGCCGTGGAACAAGTGGTACGTGGCAGCATGCGCTCCGAAGGAGCGCATGCTGACGCCTACCACTTGTTCCATGGCGCCGCACTGAGGGCTGTGGCCGCGAAGCACTTATGAAACTGGAATAGTTGAATACTTGAAAACTTGAATAGTTGAAGTAATATTTGAATACTTGAATTCAATTTTCACGTTTGACACTACTGCCTAACCCAACCCAACCCCATCCAACCCATGATATCTACAGGGTGGTCCAGAAGTTACTTACCATAAAGGTTATTCCATAATAACTGAGGACCAGAGATGTTGAAAAATTTGAATTTCCTGGAAATAGGAATTTTCCATGCCCTCGCTTTGTTCATAACATAATTCAATATTTTTTTCTCAAGTTTGCTTTAGTCATAAGCTATTGCTATTTTCACAAAATTATATGGGTGGCTCATTCGAATTATAAATTCCAATCAAATAAAATTTTTCTTTCTTCTTTTGTCAGAGTTATATGGGTGCTTCGTTCGAATTATAAATTCGAATTCGAATAAAATTTTTTTTGCCAAAACTATATGAGTGGCTTATTCGAATTATAAATTCGAATTCGAATAATTTTTTTTTGCCAGAGCTATATGGATGGCTCATTCGAATTATAAATTTGAATTCGAATAAAAATTTTTATTTTTTTTTGCCGGAATTATATAAGTGGCTCGTTCGAATTAAATTTTTATTTTTTTTGCCTGAATTATATGAATGGCTCATTCGAATTATAAATTTGAATTCGGATAAAAATTTTTATTTTTTTTTGCCGGAATTATATAAGTGGCTCGCTCGAATTATAAATTCGAATTCGAATTAAATTTTTATTTTTTTTTTCGGAATTATATGGGTGGCTCGTTCGAATTATAAATTCGAATTCGAATAAAAACTTTATTTTTTTTGCCTGAATTATATAGGTGGCTCATTCGAATTATAAATTCGAATTCGAATAAAAATTTTTATTTTTTTTGTCGGAATTATATGGGTGGCTCATTCGAATTATAAATTCGAATTCGAATAATAAATTCGAATTTGAATAAAAGTTTTTATTTTTTTTTTCGGAATTATATGGGTGGCTCGTTCGAATTATAAATTCGAATTCGAATAAAAATTTTATTTTTTTTGCCTGAATTATATGGATGACTCGGTCGAATTATAAATTCGAATTTGAATTAAATTTTTTTTTGCCAGAGCTATATGGGTGGCTCATTCGAATTATAAATTCGAATTCGAATAAAAATTTTTATTTTTTTTTTGCAGGCATTATATAGGTGGCTCGTTCGAATTATAAATTCGAATTCGAATAAAAATTTTATTTTTTTTGCCGGAATTATATGGGTGGCTCATTCGAATTATAAATTCGAATTCGAATAAAAATATTATCTTTTTCTTTTTCTGCCGGAGTTATATGGGCGGCTCGTTCAAATTATAAATTCGAATTCGAAAAAAAAATTTTTCTTTTTCTTCGGCTAATAAAAAGGGGGTGTGCCTCGAAATTTTCATTTATATTCGAACTCGAATTAGGCAGCTACTCATAAATAGAGTATTAGTCTGTTGAATATGCCAATGGTGTGGCCTAATGCGCCGAACGTCCTGTTCCTGGAGTAGGGCGGTTTGATTGATGTAAAAGTCATGTGGTGGAAAATGGGAATTGAACGACATCATAAGACTTAATTTTTTTTCTTTGACCACATTACTGACTGGACAGAAGCAGCATCTATCTCGTACTGTTGAACTGATAGGAAAAATGCAACGAGCGAACCCATAAAAATTAACATCAAAGAATGCAGGTTTTTTTTACACCTATTGCCAAATTTAAGCCTATTTTACTCTGAGCCATTTTATAACGTCTGAAGGACTTTAATTCATCATAAATACTATTTCGGCTTCTTATGAGTTGAGGTCTATAACGTATATATTAACTTTGTTCTTGATTAGCCTTCATCTGTCTAACAGTGACAGCATGGTCAATTGTGTTCCTTAGGATGCATAGTTCAAGAAGTTAGCATGAAGCTTTCGAAACACATCTAATTCAGCAGTGGACTTCTTCATCGATTACTATCACACAGAAATTCTAAAAGACCTCTATCGATTGCGAGTAGAGAACATCTCGTTTAAAAAATTTCGAATTTTTGCATTTTTATCAAAATTATCGATTTTGTAAGTCATATATCTCGAAGGCAGAGCAATGAAACAAAATATTTTTTTTACTAATAGATAGCTTGTGGAGTTCCCTACAAATAATGTCTTGAGAGTTTTTCAGTCTCATGCTTTCTTTATTTTCTCTGATCGTGTCTACAAATGGGTCATATGTGACCCATTGGGGGGTAAAGGGTTAAACATTAAAATAGATCAATACTTATGAAGCGAATACTCTATAAGTAAATACAAATTTGGATTTTTCTATTTTTTGGATAAAATCACTTTTA